TGCTCCGTTTTTTATTATTAAATCGATCTATCTACGCTAGACAATTTCTCTTTTAATAATTTGTCCCGGATAAAAAATAAATTTCCGTTTTTTTTGCCTATTTAAGTGCCTTACAGGCTGAAAACAAAATCTAGCAACTCTACCTATAACACAGGCTCTGTTTAGCTTGGGACTAGATGGCGCTGTGCGAATTGTCCAGGATGAAAAAATAAAATTATAGATTGTCTCAGAAAGAACGTATCAGTATACGAGGATAAAAAAATAAAAATAAATGTGGTTGTTTTGGAGAGAACGTATCAATATACGAACATACAAACTTCCTTAGTACGTACAATATGTTAGTTACGCACTATTATGAGTAACCACGGGTAGGTATAAATGTTTTACTAGATTCATCCTTACAATTTTCCTTCTATACACCCCATGTATAAATGTACTAGTAAATAAACTGGAATTACCTATGATGTAATGCTATATAGTGTACTGTATATATTTGTATTATAATCATTTCACATCATTACCTCTTTTCATGACTACTGGCCGCTTACAACAAGACAGACACGATCCACATTTCACCTATAAAATATTCTCACATCATGCGTCACTCGCCTTATACAGCGCTGTTCCATATATATATATATATACTAGCTGTCCCGGCAAACGTTGTTTTGCCTTAAAATAAAAAAAAAATTAGGGGTGGACTACCCCTAACATTTAGGGGGATGAAAAATAGATGTTGGCCGATTCTCAGACCTACTCAATACGCTCACAAAATTTCATGAGAATCGGTCAAGCCGTTTCGGAGGAGTATGGGAACGAAAACTGTGACACGAGAATTTTATATATAAGATTTTCTTTAAGATAATCTATTGTTAATATTATTCTTTTCAATACACCAATTATTAGTTGAGGGTCTATTTTATTTATATATTTATTGTTGGTGACCCCACATAGGTGACCCCGACGTGATTTGAACGTGATGACGGCACCGGGTTTGACGGGACTTTTTTGGCTGTAGCTGATGTAATAAGGAGTAAGTTAGGCTACTTTTATTTTAGTAAAATAAAGTTAAATTCCACGCGGACGAAGTAGCGGGTACAGCTAGTTGTATATAAAAATTACGTGTCACGTTGTTTGTGTAACGGGCCGTTCAAGTATTACGTAAGCACTATGCGGGGGGGGGGGGGGGAGGGCTTTACTTTGCTTATTTTGGATGACATGGGGGGTGGGGGAGTGTAGATGATGATTACGTCATCGGCAGTTATTTACTTTTTTACACGAATGGCAACCCTCACATGTTATTTGCTAAAAACAATACATTAATACATTTTTTAAGCTTTTTAATTTTAGGTTCTTAGTTGTGCAATTAGGTTATGTAAATACTAGTAATAAATATATTTGTATACATTAATTGAAAAATGTTTACGTAATCATGGGGTAATAGCTTTGCTTACTTTTGCTGACAAGGGGGATGGGGGTAAATAATTGTAACAAATCTGCTTACGTAATACTCGAATGGCCACTAAACTACTGATCCAATTGTAAATTTGATTTGCACATTGTTTGCAATATAATGATCCAACTTGAAAGATAGGATAGCTTACATCTCAATTTATAGTCGCAATAATATTTTATTCAAGAACCTTAGCCACAGCAACGCGTGGCCGGATCTGCTAGTTAACTATATGTACTGTTTGCGCGTTTTACTTTTCTAATTGTAACTGAAATATTTTTACATTTGTATTTACGAACCAATTTCTAATCATTAAAGTAACAAAAAATATTCGTTGTTCAAAATCTACCCTGTACCATTGTAAGCACAGATTATTATATTAGAGTCCGTTAGTTTCTTCCCGCGCGTTTCCTTCCCCTCCCTTACCTAGTACTGAACTGACCGTACGCCGGCCTTGACGCGCGCGCGCATTGTGTTGTGAATTAAAATAAATTAGAACTGTGTTAAACCTACTGTGAAACTGGAAAGCTAGCGAAGATACCTTCGAGACCCTGAAGCCCAAGAAATCCGCAGAACCATACAGGTACGTGACAGACGTTTCCACACATATTTTTCCCTATATATATACATAGTACTTTCCCTAACATTTTGGTAGCAGAGCGTATTTTCCCTAACATTCGTATCATATTAGTATATTTAAGTTTGTTATTGTCAATTATTATGTTTAGTTTGTTAGTTGTAGTTTAGAAATTAACTTAATATGCTATCGTCGTCGTTGATCTCATATTGTATTATTTTACTGATAAAGGTTATAACAGAATAGCAGAGAGGGTGGACTCACTGCCCTCGCTGAGTTATAGACCGTTTTGTCTCATTAATTAGTTTTTAAATTATATTATTGTATGGGCAATAGTTGTATTGTGTAAAAAGTGTCTGTATGAGAGAAATAAAGATTATTATTATTAGGATTCGAACCCGCGACCGTCACACAACAGAAGCAGTTGATAACCGCTACACTACAGAGGTAGTCAGCCTAAAAAAAAGCAAAAAGGCTTCTCCGGTGTTGCATTCAGAACCTCAATAAATAACCCCCGCTGAGGACAGCTCTCCCCCCTGTCTCTGGCAGGGTTCAACGACACCAGACCTGTTCTCTGGGACCATAAATCGTTAAGGGAACATCGAACAGACCTCCTATAATAGAATATTTACACAAATAAACTTAGCTTGTAATATTTTTGTCAACACTCGAGACCCTTCTATTAGTACCTCTCCTTATAACATAGATTTAAGTTCAGTGTAAAGTTGTCCACGTTACAATTCTGCGTCCACGTTATTACATTCTATTAACAACCACTGGACGGATCCGGCTGAAATTTGGCACGCAGGTAGATGTTATGACGTAGGCATCCGCTAAGAAAGGATTTTGATTAATTCTACCCCCAAAGGGATAAAATAGGGGATGAAAGTTTATATGAAACTTTGTCAATTTTAAACCGATCGGGCTGAGACTTTGCATGCATAAACCTACTATGACGTAGGCATCCTCTAAGAAAGGATTCTGATAAATTCCACCCCTAAGGGGATAAATTAACGCGAGCGAAGCCGCGGGCAAAAGCTAGTATTCATATATTTGTGTATGTTTATTCCTTCTTACAGTGTGACTTATTATTACTTATATAATCTTTACGTCTCCTATTTATTTATTTGTCTTTTCTCGTACACGTGTGTATGGCTGATCTAGTGACCAAATGATCCTATAACACTTTCTAGGTTTGCTGGAAAAATCTCTTTTTAGACATAAGCTCGCGCTTGTAAGTTTTGTTTTATTACTTGTCCTTTTTTTCCTGTGTGTGTACAATAAAGAATTCATACGTACAAAGTGGCGGGATCGTGTAGTATATATAATTTGCATGAGTATTATCAAAACCACGTGTATTGGGGGGAAGGGGATTATTAGCAATGGGAACTAGTAACTCCCATTGCTAGCAATGTACCATGTTAGGTCGACCTCCACGCGGTTCCCCCTGGAAACCATCGTGATCAATTCTAGGTGAATTTGTCACGATGGGCTAACTGACCTGACCTCATGCTTATCTTATCATCCTCCACTGGTGCCCGCCAGCGTAAACCGTTAGCGCAGGTGGGTGCACCACTCCATTATCATACACAAAAAAAAAAACCACGTGTATTAACAATTTAAAAGATTTACGTATCATTGAACTATTTTTAGTGTGGTCCACTCACTAACCGAGTACTGCGTAGTAGGAATGTCCATCGTATAAACACGAGAATGATGAATATCGGTATAAGGATGTACATTCTCATACAAGTTTGTACGAGATTTTGATCTTTGGAAACAAAATACGATGATTATTATGTTAGAGTTGATGATGACTATGTTAGAGTCAAATTAACATAACATTCGAGATTTTAACTATTTTTTGTGCGGTCCACTCGCTACCCGAGTAGCTACGTAGCAGATATGCAAACCGAGAATTTTCGATTAGAGGACATACATTCTCATGGAAACTATACTGATAAATTCCAGGTGAATTTCCCATGATAGGTTGATTGACCCGACCTCATATTTTCTTATCATCCTCCACTGGTGCCCCGACAGCGTATACCGTTAGCGCAGGCGGGTGCACTGTTCCATTACCAACTATATTTTTTTGCATTATGTTATCCAAAAATATGACATGTTTTTATTACCATCCATGTGGATATTAATACATGTAAGTTAATATTTTTTTTGTAATATTTTACTCTGATTCTGATGATTCTTTAATGGAATTTATGCTTATTATTCTTATTAAAAAAAATTACGAGAATAAGTGTTGTAAGGTTGGCAACCCTGTTGTGTAGTGCGTAGTAAATGAACACAACGTAAAGGTCACACAAAAAATTGTATAATGACAGATATCCGGTTTTTTAACTGCGTTAATCTTTTAGGATTCTGCGTCCATATCACTGAGACGGTTTTTTTTATACCACGATTAGCCGGAACAAAGAGTCAGACAAAAATTTAAAAAAAAATTGGTGTATGTTCCGTATTTATATTCATATGGATGTAGTAAAAAACGATTCTTTCAATATTACAAACAGACACTCCAATTTTATTTATATGTATAGATGTATAGTTTAAAGAAACAGAATCTCACAATGCGGGTAAATCTTTCGATGTTAAAACTCAACACGTTTATAATTAGTGCTTATAAATTATATATAGTATAGTAATAGTTTATATCATACAGTTTCTGATATAATTTATTTTTGTTACAGATTAAATTAACAGAAAACTATCGCCGTGGCAACACTACATCGAAATTGGCGCCATACTTAAAGAAAAAAAAAAGTCCGCAAGACTATAAATTGCATGTGATATTTAACTTATTTATTATAGACTTAAGGTTTGCATTTATTGACAATATATAGTCAATTAAAATATCTTCTGTCCTCGACAATAGATTGAAAAAAGCATAGACAAGGCTGCCGTAAAACGGCGCGAAAATTGCACAGACTATAAACTACTGTTATAGAGTAATAATAATTTAAATCGCTTATCGACAGAAGTTGAAGCATAGATTAAACAGCTGTGAAACGGCTGGGAAATACCACAGATTATAAATTACTATTGAAGAGTTATAATTAAACTGGACGAAAACTGTGAAATAATAGACAAAATGAGGAACAATATGAAACCATGTCAGCATGCGTCAAATGATACGGTCTACAAAGAAGTTGTTATCATTGGTGAGTATCATCAATTATTTATCATCATCATCATCAACAACAACAACATCAACAACAACAACATCAACAACAACAACATCATCATCAACAACAATATCATAATCAACAACAACATCGTCATCAACAACAAACAACAATAACAACATCATCATCATGTCTCTGTTTGTCTTCCATTGTCTGTTGCATCATCTACCCAATAGTTTACCACAAACCGATCCTGTGTCACCTGCTCCATCGACTTTATTTTTGAGGTCTTCGCTGCAGCTTGGATTCGATATAGCCCACATCTTGTTGTAACTGGCTAATCAGATATGTATTTTATATTCTAAATTTTTATTTGAATTTATAGTTCTTTTATATTACATTCTTGTTTTTGATAATTCAATTCATTCTTTTCTGTTCCTAATATGTCAGTCTATTATTAATATATTTTCTCTGTTTTTACCAAGTCTTTTTTTCTTATTACTACAACACATCTAAACGGGAAACAGCTGATTCTTCCTTTCTTTGGAAGAATAGAAGGTATGCAACGGTCTTCATGAACGATGTCACTAGTGACATCATTGCTATCTGTACATACTTGTAAATAAAATTGGAGTGTCTGTTTGTAATATTGAAATAACCGTTTTTTACTACATGCATATGAATATAAACACGGTGCATACACCAAAATAACATTTTTTACAATTTTTGTCTGTCTATCTGTTTGTTCTGGCTAATCCAAGAAAGGGCTGGCTTTTATCGGCAGGTAGCTTATGTAATAAGGAGTAACTTAGGCTACTTTTATTTTAGAAAAATAAAGTTTAATTCTTCGCAGACGAATTCGCGGGTAGAGCTAGTTATTAATATAATAAATGCGAAAGTATCTCTGTGTGTCCCGCTCTCACATCAAAATTACTGTACCTATTTAAATGAAATTTAATACACATACAGGCTAGACTCTGAGAAAGGTACATGCTACTTTTTAATGCGATTAAAAGGTTGTAAGAGGTGGAAATGGGAGATGACGGGTTGTAGGCAGTATCGACATCTTTAAAACTAGGAGCTTGAAACTTATTTTTTAGGCTCTATATTAAATATAAATCAATATGAACACTGATTAGACTATTTGCTTTTGCAATATCATATGCTGGTGGTCACTCTATTCTCACAAATTTGCAATTTAAAAATGAATCAGTAATATTGTATATAGAGATGTGCAAACTCGTAATAAACACGACTCGAGTTAACTCGAGTTGAAATTCAGGTAACTCGAGTTACCTAGAATAAACAGTTTTTTGTTTTTTCGAACAAGTCTAATGTTTTTGGCCGCAACTAGCCTTGAAAGCTTCACCGAACCATAGGGGGCGAGTAGAAATGGCACTTCAAAGCCGCGGAAGGACTTATGGAACGCATAATCATTTTAATGATAACATAACCGGACGAATATGCGAAAAAAAATTATAACGACCTCAAATCAATATTGAAAACAAGTGAAAATTATGATATGAAATGATCGGAACATTTCATGTCATTGTCAGTTCGATGACAGAATCATGCTCTCGCTCTTTCACTTGATTCGTTATTTTCCAGTTGAATTCTTCCAACTCGAGTTAGCAGAATTCACTGAACTTCAAACACATCTCTAATTGTAAATATGTACAACATTTATTTGAAAAGAATACGAGCTGAGTTTCTTGTCAGTTCTTCTCATTACCTACCACAGTATTTCCCATGACTTAAGAGTGTCAATTTGACGTATAGCGATATGTGTGTTTTGATAACTGTAGTGTAGGGTCCATTTTTTTATTTGCCCCAGGGCCCTTGGTTACCTAACTACGCCACTGCCTTTGAGAACCACTGGTCTGGACATAACACCGTGGAATAGACGTAATGATACTAATGACTCGTTAAGGTTAAGGTCACAATATTGATTGTTTGTAGTCATCAACGAGTAAATATATAGTCTGTGACATTCGTTTATTCACATCAATCACACCAAGCGTAAAGCCATTAATAATATAAAAAAATCCAGTACTATGACTGATGTTGATATAAACTTTCATCATCATCATCATCATCGCAGCCGAAGACGTCCACTGCTGGACATAGGCGATAGGCGAGGCTTCCAGCGATCTTGACCAGATCGTCGGTCCACCTTGCTGGAGGTCTTCCCACGCTGCGTCTTCTGGTCCGTGGTCGCCACTCGAGGACTTGCCCCAACGGCCATCTGTCCTACGAGCTATGTGCCCTGCCCATTGCCACTTCAAAGTCGCAATTCTTCGGGCTATGTCGGTCATAAATTTAGATATAAACTTTGAATGTCATAAATTCAAATTTCTCAAATTCATGTAAGTCTATTACAGACTCTTATGATATATCAAATCTACCGTCAGTTCGGAATGATTTCGAGATGAGAAGAACTGACAAGAAACTCAGCTCGTATTATTTTCAAATAAATGTTGTATATGTTTACAATAATACAGATTCATTTTTTAAATTCAAATTTGTGAGAATAGAGTGACCACAAGCATATGCCATTGCAAAAGCAAATAGTCTAATCAGTGTTCGCAACCCGAACAGACTAGTTCCCACAAGCAGCACCTGTTCACGAGTATGACGGATGTTCCAGCCATTATGATCAGTATATTTTAACAGTGTGAACATTACTGACATGTGTACTACATTTTAAAGATGTTTAATCGATACGATGACCTTCGCTTTGTGTGTCATTAAATGTTTTTATAGTTAATGACACATAAGGAAGGGACGCCCAATGAATAGATAATTTTTTAGTTTAGACATAAAATGGTATAGATTGACAGACTATGTTTATATATGACTAGCTGTACCCGCGACTTCGTACGCGTGGAATTTAACTTTCTTTTTCCAAAATAAACGTAGCCTAAGTTACTCATTACATCTGCTTCATGCCAAAAAAAGTTCCGTCAAAATCGGTCCAGTCATTTCAGAGATTAGCCGGAACAAACAGACAGACAAAAATTGTAAAAAGTGTTATTTTATTGTATGTACCGTATTTATATTCATATGCATGTAGTAAAAAACGGTTATTTCAATATTACAAACAGACACTCCAATTTTATTTATATGTGTAGATTGTGTCATCATCATCATCATCATCGCAGCCCGGAAGACGTCCACTGCTGGACATAGGCCTCCCCCAAAGATCTCCACGACGATCGGTCCTGCGCTGCTCGCATCCAATGCCTTCCAGCGATCTTGACCAGATCGTCGGTCCACCTTGCTGGAGGTTGGGTGTAAATCCATTTGGGGGGATATTGTAGATTGTGTATATAACTGTATTTTGTATGAGAGGAACAACAAAGAGTTTCATTCATTCATTCATTCATTTATTCATTTATTCATTTATTCATTCATTCATTCATTATGTAGACAAACCCTTATTGAGTTTATTACTGATGATACTGTAACAGGTAATGGGCCCAGTGGTATGGTGGCATCCTTCATGCTGGCGGGGAACGTGCCCTACCTCAGGGACATTCCTGAAGACCTACAGATCGATGAGATGCTCAGAGCCAGGTATTAATCAATTTTTATATTACTAGCTTTTGCCCGCGGCTTTGCTCGCGTTAATTTACCCCTTTAGGGGTGGAATTTATCGAAATCCTTTCTTAGGGGATGCCTACGTCATAGTAGATTTATGCATGCAAAGTCTCAGCCCGATCGGTTTAAAATTGACAAAGTTGCATACAAACTTTCATACCCTATTTTATCCCCTTGGGGGTAGAATTAATCAAAATCCTTTCTTAGCGGATGTCTACGTCATAACATCTACCTACATGCCAAATTTCAGCCCGATCCGTTCAGTGGTTTGGGCTGTGCGTTGATAGATCACTATGTCAGTCAGTCACCTTTGAGTTATATATATATATAATGTTATCTATATCTAAATATATAGACATATATATATTTAGATATAGATAACAATATTCTAATGTATACTTAAAAAAAAAAGACAAACACACTTACTAAATATATAAATACGAATTGCGTAAAGTTTTACAACACTACAAATTTTGTCTTAAATCTACCAGAGAAAAGATATAATAATAATAATAAATAAAAAAGGAAAAACAAAACACTTTGTAAAAAAGCTTATGTAAATGATGGTAATAATTTTGTAGAAAAAACTTAAAATCCATAGCGCTGACAATGTTATCTGATTGCACTAAGAATGAGTGCGTAGCGATTTCTATGTTGATTATCTCATGCCTTTTACTTGTTACAGTATATTTATTTATTTAAAACAACATCTATTCAAAAGTGCAACACACAAGTTTCTTGCTCATTCTTCTTGTGATGAGTCTACGTTCCTAATGAGTGGTAGAATCAATATATGACTATTCAAAAGTACTTGTATTGAGTTTATTTGAATAAAGATTATTTATATTCTTTTCAGATTATCAAATTTACCAGAAGGGCAGAGTTTGTATGAAACAGATCTGTTGGAGCTGGCTGAAGGGTTGGAGGGACGCAGTCAGAACCCTATCCCGCTATTGGTAAATAGTAATAATATCTCCGGACAATTAACACAGCGCCATCTAGTCCCAAGCTAAGCAGAGCTTGTGTTATGTGTACTAGACAACTGATGTAAATACATGGATACATTTTTTTTTGTAAATAATTACATATTATACATAGATAACACCCAGACCGATACAAACAATCACTCATGAATACAATTGGTTGTAGCGTGCGAGGAATCGAACCCACGACCATTGGATAGTAAAGCGGTGTGCTAAACCACTAGACCACGGCTGTCAAAATATTTTATTTATTTATTTAATCTTATATATAAAATTCTCGTGTCAGTTTTCGTTCCCATACTCCTCCGAAACGGCTTGACCGATTCTCATGAAATTTTGTGAGCGTATTGAGTAGGTCTGAGAATCGGCCAACATCTATTTTTCATCCCCCTAAATGTTAGGGGTAATCCACTCCTAATTTTTTTTATTTTATTTTAAGGCAAAACAACGTTTGCCGAGACAGTTAGTTCTTATATATTATACATAACTTATAGACTAACATACATAAGAAATAAATCATAAAAGTAAATAAAATAAAGAAAGGCAATCTGCCACGGTAGCGCTGATACGTCACCTTCGGCCAGTAGTCCTCCTTCATGAAGGTGGGCAGCATGTTGGTAGGGACTCGGCCACAAACGCTTTGAAGCTCGCGTTGTGACTCGGCTCCAGTTGCATCACCCTCAATGTCAGGTTACTTACTCCATCTGCCATGATAGCGCTGATATACCACACCTTTCGGCCAGTAGTCCTCCTTCATGAAGGTGGGCAGCAGTTGGTGGGGACCCGCCAGCGTAAACCGTTTGCGCAGGCTGATGCACCATTCCATTATCTATACATGTATACATATAAATAAAATTGGAGTGTCTGTTTGTAATATTGAAATAACCGTTTTTTACAACTTGCATATGAATATAAATACGGTAAATACACTAAAATAACATATTTTTGTCCATCTGTTCCAGCTCTCAGAAATGGCTGGACCGATTTTGACGGGACTTTTTTTTGGCAGGTAGCTGATGTAATAAGGAGTAACTTGACTACTTTTATTTTAGAAAAATAAAGTTAAACTAGCTAGCTTGTCATCCATAAATAAAAAAACCCTGACCACGCCTCAGCAAAGTACTAGATGAGTGAACAAACATACAAATTGTACAGTATCTATAGTGTATTATTATTACTTAATATAAGTAATGATATAGCGACGACTCGCCTGTCATTCTTGATTGCAAGAACTGGTAGGGTTGTCACCTGGGATTAAATTAACTACTTATATTATTACTAGTATTTACCCGCGGCTTCGCTCGCATAACTTCATTACTACATTATTACTGCTAGATCGCGCTGGAGTAGTAAATTGTTGACATTTTACAACATCACGTGTATTTTTAGTGCCGATAAAGAATCTTAAAATTTTTAGAATATGGACTTTGAATAAAGGTATAAATCAGGGATGTTCGGGAGCTCCGTAACCGTAACCGAAACTGTCGGATATCCGATAAAAATATTCGTAACCGAAATAAAAGTTTCGGATAATATCGGATAGGGGCGGAGCCTAATTGAGACACGTTATGTAACCATTTTATTAGCTATTTGTATTTTACTTTTGAAATTTCTTAAAAAATTAATATCCGTAACCGAAATTATCCGAAACTAACGGATAATCCGAAATAATTTCATATCCCCATCCGTATCCAGTATAGTAATCATTCCTATATCCGAAACCTATCCGTATCCGAAATTTCATATCCATATCCAGGTAAGGCACATTGTCCATTAACCACGTGAGGCTTGAGGGGTTTAACAAAAATCACCAAAATTTCACAAGGGGATATCCGTATACCGGATACGGATACGGATGCGCATATGAAATTATTTCGGATTATCCGTTAATTTCGGATAATTTCGGTTACATATTAAATTTTTAAGTAATTTCAAAAGTAAAATACAAATAGCTAATCAAATGGTTACATAACATGTCTCAATTAGGCTCTGCCCCTATCGGATATTATCCGACACATTTATTTCAGATTCGGTTACGGTTACGGATATTTTTTTATATCGGATATCCGATTACGACTGGTAGCTAGCATTCAACCGCGACTCCGGCGACGTTATAGCAATATGCCAGCCCTACGTTTATCTCAAGCTACTGATGTCATGATTTTGATTGGTCCGTCGAGGTCTCTAGCACCAAGTACCTATTGATAATTTAGGCTCGTCGCAAAGTTGATAAGGTACTATTTTTTAATATAATAATAATCTCAGGACAATTTATACAACACCATCTAGACCCAAGTTAAGCTAGCTAAAGCTTGTATTATGAGTACTAGATAACTGATACAAATACATAGATATATTTTTTTTCGTAAATACATACGTCTGGGTATTTTCTATGTGAAAATACACAGACCGATACAAACAATCATACTCAGAATACAAATGTTTGTGTCGTGCGAGGAATCGAACCCGCGACCATCGGAAGTAAGGCGGTGTGCTAAACCACTAGACCACTGAGGTCGTCAAATACGTATGTATGATAATATAATGGTGCACCCTCCTGCGCTAACGGTTTATGGCGGGGCACCAGTGGAGGATGATAAGATGAACATGAGGTCAGGTCAGCCAATCGTGACAAATTAACCAAGGATATTCGGATGGTTTCCAAGGGGAACCGCTTGGAGGTCAGCTGACATGGTACATTACTAGCAATAAGATCATCGGTCCACATTATTAACAATCTACTTTCCCACTTGTGTTGTATCAATTTCAATCACAGTACATAAAATAACTTCTTTGTCAATTTCTCAAAGCTGAGGGCCGAGAACACCAGAAATTCTTCCAAACAATATGCGGTTTTTTTTAACGTATGGGGCTGTTCAAGTATTACGTAAGCAGATTTATCACAATTATTTACCCCCCATCCCCATGTCAGCAAAAGTAAGCAAAACTCTTACCCCTCCCGCCATGCTTACGTAAACATTTCTCAATTAATGTATTGTTTTTTTTAGCAAAGACAATGTGAGGGTTGCCATTCGTGTAAAAAAGTAAATTACGACCAATGACATAATCATCATACAGACTTCCCCACCCCCATGTCATCCAAAATAAGCAAAGAAAAGAACCCCCGCCCCCCTATAGTGCTTACGTAATACTTGAACGGCCCCTATGGTATGTTAAAAAACCTTTCACTTTTTCAAGAATTTAATAATAATGCCACCTCGACAAAGTCACAGCTAGTTTAATACAAAATATAAATAGCTCCAAACGTTTTATCGCCATATTTGAAGCTAGGTAGATCACTATACTACACCGACAAAATCACGGGCACAGCTAGTCTTAAATATACAATTCTCGTATCACAATGTTAGTTACCATACACCGCCGAAACTTGCCGACCGATTTTTATTAAATTTCATATGCATATTCAGTAGGTCTGACAATTAATTTATTAATTTAATTTAAGGCGACGCATCGCAAATATTGACCTCAGATACCTTAACTTTTCTCAGCAATTACAAATCATTCGGGGCTGATATTTAGGTATTTCATTTTTCAGATCTTTGACATCATATTGACAGTTCTCGTTACATAATTGATTAACTTTTGTAGCAGAGAAAAAAATCTCAAAGATTGGTCTTATAAAATATATTTTTGATTGGTGATAAGAAAACGGGACTGATTTAAGACCCGAATTATTCAATATACATTATACTAAATACATACATAAATAGTATAATTCAGATCTTAAACAAAATACGAGATGAGTTTCTTGTCAGTTCTCATCTCGAAATCACTTCGTACTGACGGTAGATTTGACATATCATAAGAGTCTGTAATAGACCTACATGAATGAAGATATTTTGAATTGAAATAAAAAAAGTAAATAGCTCCAAACGATTTCTTACAGTATAGTGTTATTATTCGTTTTTCCGTTCACGCTTGACCTTCGCGAATGTACCCGCAACTGCGAGGTCGGTGGACCAGACCTTGTACGAGATTTAGATCACTCCACTTTATTCTAATGATCGAGACTATGTATTAGCCGCGGCTTCGGCCGAGAATTAATATAAAAAAAAAAATAATTTGAATTTTGAAAAATGTAAATTTGAAACATTTTAATCCTTACAAATATTATGAACTAGCTAATGATCGAGACTATGTACCTGCGTCTTCGTCCGCGTGGAATTTAACTTTATTTTTCTAAAATAAAAGTAGCCTAAGTTATTCCTTATTACATCAGCCACCTGCCAAAAACAGTCCCGTCAAAATCGGTCCCGCCGTTTCTGAGATTAGACTGAAAAAACAAACAGACAGACAAAAATTGTAAAAAATGTTATTTTGGTGTATGTACCGTATTTATATTGATATGCATGTAGTAAAAAACGGTTATTTCAATATTACAAACAGACACTCAGAACCACACACAGACACAGAACAAACAGATACACAGATCTGTTTGTTCCGGCTAATCTCTGAAATGGCTGGACCGATTTTGACGGGACTTTTTTTGGCAGGTAACTGATGTAATGAGTAACTTAGGCTACTTTTATTTTAGAAAAATAAAGTTAATTTCTGCGCGGAAAAAGTCGCATGCACAGCTAGTAAACAATAATGATTCTTACAACTCGTCAGGAAATAAAAAACGAAAACATACCGCGTTGTAGAAACTGAACGGCGCCATCTAGTGACAGTTATATGAACTAAATTTACGGAAGACGATTAAACACCCATAACACTAGGTCTGCTTACTGTAACTAGATGGCGCTGTTTTATTTGTCCTTCGTTCATTCATTCATTCATTCATAATTTAAGAGCTACGCTCTTGTCGGTGGAGCTCTCGCCACTTTCCGCGATCTTCCATCATGCTCTTTAATTCTTGATACGACACGACTCCCATTTTGTCCTCAATTTGTTTGATGTAGCTGTGCCTTGGTCTTCCCCTCCCCCTCTTTCCTTTTATTTTCCCCTCAATAATAAATTTCATGAACTCATCGTGCCGTATCAAGTGTCCTAACATTTCTCCTCGTGTATTTTAATTATTTATTATTTTATTAGAATAGAATAGAATAGAAATTCATTTATTCAAATAAATTTACATTGAAGCACTTTTGAATAGTCATAACATTTTTTTTTAATCTACCGCTCATTCGGAATGCTGTCTCATCACAAGAAGAACGAGCAAGAAACTTGTGTGTTGCTCTTTTAAATAATTTATTCTTACTTACAATTTAAGTTTAAGTGTGTGAATACAAACCACCGATTAATTAATCAATTTATTATTATACTTCCAGATGGATAATCTATTGCGGCCGTGTGCAGATATAGGCGTAAATGCAGACGGTCTGATCGAATGGAAATACGACGTAGAGAAACAGGTAAGGTCAGGTGTACAATTAATGATTAATTAATCACGCTCACTAAAATGTCCAGACATGTGGCGGCGTGGTGGGCCGGGTCATTGGGCTCCCTAAAATACGGTCGAGCGCAGTGATGGCTGCCTCATCCGTCATACTCGTGACCGAGTGCTGCTTGTAGGGTCTGGTCTGCTCTAATCACTATGACTGATTTCCTCTTATTAATTGTTTAACCAGTTGGTTGTATATTCAATATTTTTTCTATTCAAGTATTAAATTGAATAAGTGCTAATCGGTAGTTTGTATTCACACACTTAAACTTAAAAATGTAAAATAATAATAAAATTATTTAAAAGAGCAACACACAAGTTTCTTGCTCGTTCTTCTTGTGATGAGACAGCGTTCCGAATGAGCGATATTGTAATGAATTGATGTGGTCGCTAACTATTGGCCTCATTAATAAGCTCAAAGTCACTCAGAGAGCGATGGAGACGGCTATGCTCGGAGTTTCTCTGATCAAACCAGAAATGAGGAGATCCGCAGACGAACCAGAGTGACCGACATAGCCAGAAGAATTAGTTTTTATAAATTATTATTATACTTGTTAGGCAAAGATGTAACAACTTGTAACCACTGTTAGTGGAGAGATTCTAAATATCATTATATAGTATAAAACAAAGTCGCTGTCGCTGTCTGTCCCTATGTATGCTTAAATCTTTAAAACTACGCAACGGATTTTGAAGCGTTTTTTTTAATAGATTGAGTGACTCAAGAGGTTTTTATTTATTACTAGCTGTTGCTCGCGGCTTCGCTCGCGTTAATTTATCCCCTTAGGGGTGGAATTTCTCAATTCTTTACTTATGATGCCTACGTCATAGTAGCTTTATGCATGCAGGCTGAGACTGATCGATCGGTTTAAAATTGACAAAGTTTCATATAAACTTTCATCCCCTGTTTTATCCCTTTGGGGGTAGAATTAATCAAAATCCTTTCTTAGCGGATGCCTACGTCATAACATCTACCTGCATGGCAAATTTCAGCCCGATCCGTCCAGTGGTTTGGGCTGTGCGTTGATAGATCACTATGTCTGTCACCTTTGAGTTATATATATTTAGATACATGTAAACCCGTACGAAGCCGGGGTGAGTAGCTAGTTAACAATAAAAAAATGCCAGTCCCTATGTGAGAAATAAGATTTTTCAATGCGATCTTCAACGTGTGTAAATATTTTGGTGTTGGTCCAGATAGACCACATAGTGCTGGGCCGGGGTCCGCCGGGGGGCGCGTGGCAGTCGTTCCCAGCTCGCGTCCGCACGCTATCACCCGCCGCCTGGCTCTGCCTGCCCCCACACCGAGCCGCACTCACCGACCGACTACCAGCTCGCGCTGTTGCTGACTACTGCACGCGCTATGTACGAGCCTGCAACCTCACAGTCAGTACCCTCTTTTTTTGGAATACTCTAATGCTGCTGGCCGCAGCTGTCCTTTACAGCTTCACCGGACGATAGGGGGCGAGTGCAGATGGCACTCCAAACCAAAGGAAGGACTTATGGAGCGGCTGAAGGCCAACTCCCGCCTGACGGATACGACTTTAATCTGAGGGCACAGCTAGGAGTTCGAACCTCGGTTCAGGCCGTCGTAATTTCGATCTCAATTTGATTTAGACGAGGGTCGATCGTAGGGGAGTACTCATTTACTTGCAGTAAAACTCCACCAGACAACTCGTTAGGGTGTCTTTACACATACACTCTTACATCATAATAATGAATGTACTTCTTTTTTGATTCGAACTACTCCTAATGCTGTTGGCCGCAGCTGGCATTTACGATAGCGGACGATAGCGGGCGAGTGCAGATGGCACTCCAAACCAAAGGAAGGACTTATGGAGCGGCTGAAGGCCAACTCCCGCCTGACGGATACGACTTTAGTCTGAGGACACCGCTAGGGGTTCGAACCTCGGCTCAGGCCGTCGTAATTTCGATCCCCGTTTGAATTGGACGGGGATCGATTGTGTGGGAGTGCTCTCTTGCTTATTTATTTATTTATAGTCAAATTACACTAGATAACACATTAGCTGCCTTAAACATACGTTCTTCCATAAAGGATGTACTTCTTTTTGGTTTCGGACTACTCTAATACTGTTGGCCGCAGCTGGCCTTTACAGCTTCACCGGACGATAGGGAGCGAATGCAGATGGCACTCCAAACCAAAGGACTTATAGATCTAGATCTTATTTAATATATATTTTTTTTGTGTTTAAATTATATGTATCTGTATGTAGTAAAAAACCCGCATCTTAGTTTTTTTTTATGAGTAATGGGGGCTGCCTGAAAACCAGCGCTGTATAGGTGCACCTCACTAAGGTTGTACTTATATCAGCAACAGCTGAGGCAGCTCCTATTGCCAACTTCCATGTTATTATTAATTTCTTGTTTTGTGTCTTATTGTAAATTGTATTATTTGTGGTATGTTGGCAATAAATCAATTATCTATCTATCTATCTATCTATCTTATGGAGCGGCTGAAGGCCAGTTGGTCTACTTGTCGGCTACAACTTTAGTTTGAAGACACCGCTAGGGTCCGAACCTGGGGAGAGGCCGTCGTAATTACAATCCTTGTTGGATCGAGATTCTTACTAAGACTATTCTAATAGACCTAGATCTATTACTCTTAATTTATTGAAGTTGTTACTTGCTCTCCAACCAGCGGTACAACCGGGAGCTTTACGGAAACTTTAAAGACTAAAGGACTTTGGTTACCCATCGGATAAAATGTGCAAGACCAAAATTTAAAAGAAAATCCTCTAACGTTTAGTTCTTTGTTTTAGCGATACTTTCGCAGCGACGTAGTGGTGACAAGTGTGCGGCCGTGGCCGCGGACCGGGCAGCCCTGTTCGTCTGTCTGTCCCCTCGCCGCTAACTTCTGTGTATCCGGGTGAGTACTGTCCGGTAATATCGAACTCTATGAGGAGGGGTAGATAATTTTTTTTTTATACTACTACAGTGGCAAACAGGGATACGGCTCATCTGATGGTAAATGGTTACAGTAGCCTATGGACGCCTGAAACACCAGGGGTGTCACGTGCGTTGCCGACTCTTAAGAAACCTTAATACACCCTTCTTGAAGAACCCCATGCTGTAGTCTCGTGAGAAAACCTCGGCAGGAAGCTCATTCCACAACCTAAGTGTACGCGGGAGGAAGCTCCTCTGAATAATCTCAGGACAATTCACACAGCAGCATCTAGACTAAAGGTTCCCAAACTTTTTTGTGTCGGAGACCCCGTGCCATATTTTTCGGTTTTGGCTAGACCCCCCATTCTTACCTGGTATTGATTTTTTTTGTAAATTTCTAACTGTAGTAAAGTTTAGTGTTAAAAACATAAAGTAAAAACAAGATGACCACTGTCGTAGACCCCTTGCAGTTTGTCATAGACCCCTGGGGGTCGATATAGACCACTTTGGGAATCACTGATCTAGACCTAAGCTAAGCTAGCCAAAGCTTTTATTATGGGTACTAAATAACTGATACAAATACATATATAAAATTTTTTTTTGTAAATACATACATAATATACATAGGAAACACCCAGACTGATACAAACAATTATACTCATGAATACAAATGTTTGTGCCGCGCGAGGAATCGAACGCGCGACCATCGGAAATAAAGCTTGTACGGACTGATCTGTTCAGGTTGCGAACACTGATTAGATTATTTCCTTTTGCAATAGCTGCAACATCTACTGATGGTCACTCAATTCTCCCAAATTTGAATTTAAATGAATCTGTATTATTGTAAACATGTACAACATTTATTTGAAAAGAATACAAGCTGAGTTTCTTGTCAGTTCTTCTCATCTCGAAATCATTCCGAACTGACGGTAGATTTGACATATCATAAGAGTCTGTAATAGACCTACATGAATAAAGATATTTTGAATTTTTAAATAAAGTAGTGTGTTAAACTTAGATAGTTAAATGAAACGACCAGTAGTTATAAAAGGTAATGTTGTACAGGTACGACGCGGGGTCTGGTCGAGGGTTCCGGTACTTGTGTGCTCGTGTGATAACTGCGAGTGGCGCCGGGCGCGCAGCCACTCTCCAGCCGCACGTGGCTCGGTACGCACTACACGCGCTCGCTCCTCTACAACGAGCGTTACAGCCAGCAGGTACTGTATAGGTATTCTGTAAGCGTTTTATCAAACTCTTTATCAAACTGGCCAAAACATATTTTTTATGGATGATAATGGATGCACCCGCCTGCGCTAACGGTATACACTGGCGGGGCACCAGTGGAGGATGATGAGATGAACATGAGGTCAGGTCAGTTAACACACCGTGACAAATTCACCAGGAATTTATCACGATGGTTTCTAGGGGGAACCGAGTGGAGGTCGACCTAACATGGTACATTGCTAGTAATGGGTCATTACACCCCGTTATATACCCGTTATACCCCAATCCCCTCCCCCCCAAAACAGTTATTGTATAACCCAACCAGTGTTGCCAACTCCAAAAAACTAAAAAACAACAGCTCGCCATTAAAAAAAACAGTTGGTAAAGTGAAAAAAGGCAAATTTCATACTTTCCTCATATAATTAAAATAATATTTTTTTTTAGTTACCAGTAGTCGCGTGTATTGTTATATAAATAATCCCAAAAAAAAAATAAAGTAAAATTATTAATTATTATATAAAGGTAAATAATTTTACTTTATTTTTAATTTTCTAATCTTTTCCATCTTTTTCGATGTTTTCACTCATTTTTCTTTTTAAAATCATCCATATTCAGGTAACTCGAGACAACACGAGTTACCTGAATTTCAACTCAAGAAATATTATTTATTCAAATAGTAAACTCATAAACTCATTACAAGTACTTTTAAATAGTCATATTTTGATTCTACCACTCATTCGGAACGCAGATTCATTACAAGAAGAATGAGCAAGAAATTTGTGTGTTGCTCTTTTTAATAGATGTCTTTATTATATAAATACTTACACAATAACAAGTAAGAGGCATACAATAAAGCTGATCACCTGCTTCTTCCTTATCCCATTTATTTGTGGTCGTCGTAATATGTTTTTCTCTTCCATTCATCCCTGTTCGCAGTCATCTCGTCATTTACTGCCTTTCTTACCATATCATCTTTCACACAGTCCATCCATCTCTTTTACGCCTTCCTCTGCCGTTATAACCATCCACATTCATATGTGTATCTTCCTTATGCATGCGATAAAGCTATGAATGTTATTAATTTACAGTAGACAATAACCAGCCGCCGGTCCTGATAGTGGGATCTGGAGTGAGTGCAGCAGACGCGGTGTGGCTCACACTCCGCGCCAACCGTCACGCCCTACATCTGCACAGGACACCGGCAGAAGCGTTGGCACGGCTGTCTCCTCAGACCTACCCGGATTATTGCCAGGTATTTTAAATCTTGAGGATACTGTGTTCTCGCAAACACTGCTAGCGGGGGCGACTGACCGGCGAGTGACCTTTAGCGACTGAGCACGGCTGGGAATGATGCCCCATACCAAGTCACCTTCACTTGCCACTGCACCATCGGCGTAAGCACGTATGTGCCGTTTCTTTCTGATATGTATGCATATAAATAAAATGGGAGTATCTGTTTGTAATGTTGAAATAACCGTTTTTTACTACATGCATATGAATATAAATACGATACATACACCAAAATAACATTTTTTTACAATTTTTGTTGGGACTTTTATTGGCAGGTAGCTGTTGTAATTAGGAGTGACATAGGCTACTTTTAGTTTTTGAAAAATAAGTTAAATTCTACGCGGACGAAGTCGTGGGAACAGCTGGTTATATATATAAACCTTCCTCTTGAATCACTCTATCTATTTAAAAAATCCGTTGCGTAGTTTTAAAGATTTAAGCATAAATAATGACGGACAGACAGCGACATGGACTTTGTTTTATAATATGTAATGATTATGTATGTATTTACAAAAAAAAAACTTTATATCAGTAGTCTAGTATATCCATAACACAAGCTCTGCTTACCATGTGTAGATGGCGCTGCGTTAATTTTATACTATTTATTTTATTTTATTTTATTTGGGATACAAACAGTTTCACAATGTAGTATGTATTTAAGTACATAGATATGAATTAATAATAGTAAAACCAATACAGATATCCACGGGTTAAGTTTACTATATAATGATTAAAATATGAAATTTCTCATTTACAGGTATACAAGATGATGTGTGATAGAACGTCCGGCGATTACGTCAACTATACCTCTTACCCAGAGCACGTGATAGTCGACGTCACACCCGAGACCACAGACTCTCCAGAGACCACAGACACAGAATACGACACCAGGCTGAAGAGAGTCAAACTCCTCAACATTGTCACAAATGAAGTCCAAGAAGTGACTGTCTCTATTATTACAGTGTTAATCGGATCGAAGCCAGATTTGTTCTTCTTACAAACGAATTTCAGCTTTGACTGCATAGATATTGATTGCGTTAAATGTAGACGAAGAGATGAGAAGAGAAAAATAGATAACAGAAGACGCAGCTTCCTAAAAGAGCACTGGCATTACCTAAAATCAATATTGGGACAGAGCATCCAAATTTGCAAATCAAGATTTAATTACAGTGAAATTAATGGCAACACCGATACCAAATGTATGATGCCGGACTGCAATAAAATTGAGACGTGCGCGTGCAACACTGAGCTGGATAATGAATGTGATTATGAGGGTTATAAGAACTCTTTAGAGGCGAAGTTCAGTTGTCAATGCAATAGTAACCCGTATTCAAATGGTATAGGGTTCGGAATTGATCCGGAGAAGCCAGTGGATGGTAGGACCAACCCAGTGGCCATAGACAAAAGTACGCACGAATTATTATACGCCCCAAAAGGTATATATGCCTTAGGTCCCCTAACAGGGGATAATTTCGTCCGTTTCATCCCCGGCGGAGCGCTAGCTATAGTGACACATATACACAAAATGAAAACAGAAACCGAATGACTTGCCATAACCAATACTATGTGATTGAAACATTTAATGTCATTTCAGTTTACAATAAAATATTTTTATACCCAACTTTGTTTTTCCTTACATTTAATCATCATTACATAGTATAAAACAAAGTCGCTGTCGCTGTCTGTCCGTCTCTATGTATGCTTAAATCTTTAAAACTACGCAACGGATTTATTTAATAGATAGAGTGATTTAAGAGGAAGGTTTATATGTATAACTAGCTTTTGCCCATGGTTTCTCTCGCGTTAATTTATCCCCTTGGGGGTAGAATTAATCAAAATCCTTTCTTAGCGGATGTCTACGTCATAACATCTACCTGCATGCCAACTTTCAGCCCGATCCGTCCAGTGGTTTGGGCTGTGCGTTGATAGATCACTATGTCAGTCACCTTTGAGTTATATATATGTACACCCGTGCGAAGCAGGTAGATGTTATGACGTAGGCATCCGCTAAGAAAGGACTTTGATTAATTCTACCCCCAAGGGGATGAAAGTTTATATGAAACTTTGTCAATTTTAATAAACCAATCGGGCTGAGACTTTGCTTGCATAAAGCTACTTAACCTGATATGTGCCTATATAATTACAGTAATAATGTAATATATAAATAATAAAGATCAAATATAATTAGAATTATAATATAAAATGTATATTCTAGAAGGTTCATATCATCATATAATCATGTTTTTTTTATTTGTATAATTTAGAAGTTCTGTTTTGACTTTTACGGACTTTATATATATAAAAACAAACCTGTGTATACCGGAGGACTGTTCCGTTAAAAACAAAAGGGCAATATAATTACTTATCTTATATATAAAATTCTCTTGTCACAGTTTTCGTTCCCATACTCCTCCGAAACGGCTTGACCGATTCTCATGAAATTTTGTGAGCGTATTGAGTAGGTCTGAGAATTGGTCAACATCTATTTTTCATGCCCCTAAATGTTAGGGGTAGTCCACCCCTAATTTTTTTTTTATTTTAAGGCAAAATAACATTTGTCGGGACAGCTAGTAGCTCTATAAAACACTACACGTTTAATTGCCGCCCCCGTAATACAATGTAAAACTGTGTTTTATCCATTATAGATAAAATGTGTTGGATAATATAAAGTGTAGGAAGGCGTAGTGCCTTGGAATAAATTCAAATTCAAATTTAAAAATCTATTATTCATGTAGGACATTTTAGCCGCTTATGAACGTCAAGTTTTTACATTATAATATTTTTTTCACTACCATCCAGTTCGGTATATAGATCCAATTCAAAAGAACTGGCAAGAAACTAAATTGAATTACTTTTTTTTTAAAAGCCAGTTTATTTACAATGTATATTTATATAGGTGTCTATGTCTAACATTAAATGAAAATCCTGTGCATGAAAACTATTGCCATGCACGCTCGTCATTCAAGTAATCGTTTAGTGAGTAATAGGCATTGCTCAGTAAATATGATTTAACAGATGTCTTGAATTTATTTAAGGGTAATTCCATGGGTAAAAAATATGGTTTTGAAATAGATATGTATTAAGAAAAATTTTGAGTTCAAGATACAGTGCAGGCGCCGCAGGTCATGGGTAAAGAACTTAAGACAGTGGTTCCAGAGCACCAGATCTCTGATCAGAACAGCGGTGTACAGGGTGGAAGAGGATTGTGGGTAATGTGGATTAATAACCCCATCGCTAGGATAACGGGAATTGTTAGTAAAATAAAACGACGTATTACATTGACTTGTGGCACAGAGAAAAAAAAATTTATAAAGAGAACAACCAAATATATTTACCGATATTACACGACAGATAATAATAACAATAATATCTCAGGACAATTAACACAGCGCCATCTAGTCCCAAGCTAAGGAGAGCTTGTGTTATGAGTACTAGACAACTGATATAAATACATGGATGCATTTATTTTTTTAAATAAATACATATTATACATAGAAAACACCCAGACCGATACAAACAATCATACTCATGAATACAAATGTTTGTGCCGTGCGAGGAATCGAACCCACGACTATCGGATAGTAAAGCGGTGTGCTAAACCACTAGACCACCGAGGCTGTCGACAGCATATTGTATAGATTATTATTGTATTATTCTATAGATATTATACTTTTAACAATTAGTGTCCCCATTGCCATGTACATATACCATGTTTGGCTGATCCCCACGCGGTTCTGCTTAAAAAAAAATCATGATAAATTCCTGGTGAATTTGTCACGATGTGGTAACTGACCTGACCTCATGCTCATCTTATCATCCTCCACTGGTGCCCCGCCAGCGTAACCTATTAGCGCAAACGGAAGCATAAACTCATTCATATATTAAAAAAAGTGTGTCAACATCGCAATAATGTAATCAAATCGGATTCTGCGTTTGTGCTATATGAGTCAGAAGTTATCTGCTAGTTACACAAACATAGCGGCATATATATATATGCATAGATGTTGTACGTCAGTGTCGTTGACCTCATTTTAGATAGATATGATTGTGATTTGACTGTTTTAACCTTTTTTCAACACTTTTGCTCGTAAAGAAAATCTAAGTTTACCGGTTTTCGATATATAAGGTACCGGTTTGGAATATATAAAGGACCGGTTTTCGATAAATAAAGATACGGTTTTATATATATAAAGTACCGGTTTTCAATATATGAAGTAACGGTTTTAGATATATAAAGTACCGGTTTTCGATATATAAAGCACCGGTTTTCGATATATAAACAGTTCATAAAACACCCGCGTTATAAACAGAAATAGTGAAGTTATATTGCATAATTTATTATTTTTTCAAATTTCAAAATCCATCATTTAATTTCCAAACTTTTTTGTGTTATTATATAGACTGTTGTCTGTTTGTAATATTGAAATATTTTTTTACTACATGCATATGAATATAAATACGGTACATACACCAAAATAACATTTTTTACAATTTTTGGCCGGACCGTTTTTACGAGACTTTTTTTTGGTAAGTAGGCGATGTAATAAGAAGTAACTTAGGCCACTTTTATTTTAGAACAAATCTTTTAATTTAGAAAAATAAAGTTAATTTTCACGCGGACGAAGTCGCGGGTACAGCTTATGCCTGGATGAAGACTTGAGGGATGGTGGATTGATTTATAAACGAATCGACATCTGTTTTTTTTTCAGTATGACAACATTTGTAGGCTGCCAGTTACAATTTTATATTTAAAAATACACAATGTTTATTGAAAGTGATCATAGACAAAATAAGACACAAACAAGAGTTTCTGATATTTTTATTTTTTATACATCGACACACATTGTTACTTACCCTAAAAACATTTATAAAAAAATGCGAGTTAGATCACAGATGGCACTCTACTCTTTGGAGCAGACAGAGTTTAAAAATTAACAGGTAATCTTAGGTACATCTAATTATTTTACAATAAAATATATTAATTTTATATAATTCAATTATAATAATTTTGTAAAATATTATTATGTAAAGGTACAAAACATTTAAAATATTAATATTATTACATATAAAAAACCAACATACATAGAAATTCAAATAAAGGAGCGATAATTTAGTTTCAAACAAAATTGATATCTATACATATAAATAAAATTAGAGTGTCTGTTTGTAATATTGAAATAACCGTTTTTTACTACATGCATATGAATATAAATACGGTACATACACCGAAATAACATTTTTTACAATTTCTGTCTGTCTATATATTTGTTCCGGGTAATCTTTGAAATGTCTGGACCGATTATGACGGGACTTTTTTGGAAGGTAGCTGATGTAATAAGGAGTAACTAGGCTACTATTATTTTAGATTATTTTTTTGTTTTAGAAAAATAAAGTTAAATTCCACGCGCACGAAGTCGCGGTAACAGCTAGTCTTATATATAAAATTCTTGTGTCACAGTGTTAGTTACCATACTCCTTCGAAACGGTTTGACCGATTTTTATGAATTTTTATATGCATATTCAGTATGACCACCCCTTATCTTTAGAACATAGAACATTAATATCATTAAATAATGCCCAATTTACACTCAGCCCGAGTGGGCAGGGAAGTGAGCAGCTCGAGAGTGGAAACACTTCCCATGCCATTGGCGCTGCCACTCGCGCTGCCCGGCGCTCCCTCGATTGTCGGTTTTTCGTGCGCGATTCAAAGGACTGGCAGCGCGAGTGGCAGCGTGTTTTTACATTCAGCCCTCTCGCTCAGTTGTCGCCCGGCAATATTTCCGGCAGCGCGAGTGGCAGGGGAAGCGGCTGAATGTAAACGTATATGTATATTCAGTAGGTCTAATCAAGTTGGCCAACCCTAACATTTATATAAATAAGTAAACATTTAATTACATTCATTCACTTACAGCACCTTTGCTTAAAACGGTTTCCTAGCTAACATCCTTACCTAACACCTGATTTAGTCATTTGTGCCCATAATTACAAAAAAATTAACCAACCAACAGTAAAAAAATTCTAGCTTGTCCTTGCGTAACAGACAATCCAACATACATATATATATTCGGACTACTCTTATGCTGTTGGCCGCAGCTGTCCTTTACAGCTTCACCGGACGATAGGGGGCGAGTGCAGATGGCACTCCAAACCAAAGGAAGGACTTATGGAGCGGCTGAAGGACAACTCCCGCCTGACGGATACGACTTTAGTCTGGCACCGCTAGCTCGAACCACGGCTCAGGCCGTCGTAATTTCGATCCCCGTTTGAATTGGACGGGGGATCGATCGAGCGCCCGGTTGATTGCGCGGTATCGTGTGTTTGGGGTTGTCGTCTTCGCCGGCGAGGACGGTGTCGTGTGTGTGTGGAAAAGTATGGTCGGGACGGAACGGATGGACCCGTGGGGAGGTTGACTGCCGTTATGGGGTCGTCGTAATGGACTGATATTGAAATTTACAAACCTAGACGCTTTTTACTTACAGTATTTTATGACTAACTACGTATTTGTCAATTTAATTCACAATTCGTATGTTCGAGCGCTATCGAACATGAGCTATTGACAGCCGCTAGGCCGGGACACCTTTCACTTTGCCTTGCGCCTACGACGTCACCGCACGCGTACCTTATTAATTAGCTAATGTTCCTTGTAATATTATAACTCCTCGTATTAAATATAATAACTTACAGTCCACTACTTATTTTATTTACGAGTTAACAACACGTATATTACATTTGTATTATATACAGTTTCTTTTACGTTCACGTAAATAATCACCATATTAAGTTTAAAGGCAGTATATGTTTTATCCAGGGGGAAAAGAAGTGATAGCAATGGGGAAAGTGACTCCATTACAAGCATTACACCATGTCAGGTTAACCTCCACGTGGTTCCCCCTGGAAACCATCGTGATAAATTCATGGTGAATTTACCACGATGGGCTTACTGACCTGACCTCATGCTTATCATCCTCCACTGGTGCCCCGCCAGCGTAACCCGTTAGCGCAGGCGGGTGCACCATTACATTAACATCTATAAGACTATTTCTTATTCATTTATGACAAAATATATATTTTTATTACAATAATGACATTTATATATAGTAATTGAGTATAAAAAAAAATAATCCTAGACAAATAACACAGTGCCGTGTAGATATATATTTTTTAAATACATATATGTCATACATAGAAAACACCCAGACCGATACAATCATACTCATGAATACGAATTTTCGCACCGTGCGAGGAATCGAACCCGTGATTCGGAAGTACAGTGTTCAGGGAACAAAACACTGATTTTCAGCTTTGAGGGTACGTGAAAATAACAAATAAAATAAATATATAATCAAAAGAGCAATTGGTGACCCAACCCACCACAGGGATATTCGAATATTGAGTCATTGTTAAAATTTAAGATGAGGTAAAATGTTAGGACACTTGATACGGCACAATGAAATTATGTCAGTTCAAGTGTATGTATGTATGTTCAGTTCAAATCAAGTATTGAGGGTACGATAGAAGGTAAGAGGAGAGAAAGACCAAGACACAGCTACATCAAGCAAATTAAAGATGGAAATGGAGTTGTGTCATATCAATAGTAAAAGAGTATGTTGGACAATCGCGGAAAGTGGTAAGAGCTCCACGGACAGGAGTGTCATTCTTAAATTATTAACGAATGTACTATAATATAAATTTCAATTTTTCATTATATGTTTTGAAAATTATACTTACCATTTCTAAACATAATTAATTTCTTCCTAAAAAACTTTAGTTTAAGTTTCTTAAACAAGCACTTTAATTGTATAAAATTTAAGAAAAAAATTAATAATTATAAATTTTAGATTGTCTTAGATGGGGCATGGCACTAAAAAGGTTGGGTAACACCAAATTACAGTATTTTAATTAATTGGCCTGCGGTGGAGATGGGTTATTTATCACTTCGACATACTTCCTCAAATCTTCGGCCAATGACTTTGGTAACCCTAAACCATCCACGTGACCTGGTTCGGCGATACAACCAGCAGCTGCCAACAGAGCAGTCTGTCGCAAAGTCCTTACAGGTACTGATATGAGCCATGACGTCCTGTGTCTTAGGTCCCCAATACAGACCGGCGCCCGAAATATCTCTTTATTTTGAATAACGTACCTCTCTTTTGTGTTGACATCGGTAAACTCCCACGGGTGTGTCAGGAAGGAGTCTACGTTGTAATATGAACGAGGTTTCAATCTGATATACAGCCTCCTCGCCCCGTTAAAATCCCGCCACCAAACGTCGACGGGACGAGATGTTTTATTCACAAAACGTAAGTACACCCGCTTTTCTGACTCTATTGATCTTATAAACACTCTTTCTCCATTATCGTTGGTCTCGTACAATAAATATTGGTTGTTTAAAGCCATTGTCGAAAAATAATGCATGAAGTTTGCTAACATTTTATTTATGCTTTGGTCACGTCATGTTTCCTTTATTGAACTGTGCGAATAATCTGATCCCTTTTTTTTAATGTGTTATTAAAAATATTTTCAAATTTACCGCCAAAAATTCTATTGGTATGTTGGTACCATGACGTCAGAAAGACAGTTTCGTCGATTCTGTGTACATAATAATGGCTGTTTGCGTTGCTGTAATTGGAAAAGATGTAAGTTGCTTGATATATCTTCACACTTTTTCTGAATTAGAGTCTCATTAATTGATGATGAATGTATACACTAAATAGATAACACTACTACTACTTGTTTTTTAGAAAAAAATCTAATTTACAAATCAATACATCATCACCTCCCACTTTTTGACTATTTACACTGTCAGTCCGATTGTGTCAGTCACAAGTCAGTCGGTCATCAATGCCTTAAACCATAGACAATATGGTAACTGGCCAGACGTAGTGATTACTTGCTCAGTGATTTAAACTATAATCTTGCCCATAGTAGTTCGCGGCTGACATAGCTCAATTTAGTTCGCAGCTTTCATGCAAACTAGTTCATTCGTGACCAATAGGTACATATGTATTTTTGTATTTAGACAAATATTTTTGCAAAAAATGCGTTCATGTTTTAGCAAGAGAATGCGTATTTTTTTAACAAATAAGAGGGCCTGTTAGTTCAGTCGCGAACTATACAGCCTATCTCTTGTGATACTTCTGCAATGCCATTCCAGAGAACTATGACATTTGCCTCTAATCCTGTATCTGTATATTTCATCCCAATAGCAATAAATATCTGATTTAATTAAAATATATGTATAGATCTCTCTAATTTGCAGAATTCTCCTTTATATATCGGTGGGATAGGTAACGATACGAGTACAGACAACGAACTGTCCCGACAATGGCTTGTACACACGGCATTAGACGCGTTAGAAGAAAGGCTGGCCACTACCAATAACAATACATCGGGCTCAAATTCAAATGCTACACGCACTGATATGCGTGATTTATATTTGGGATTGCTCTATTCTACAGATACACATAAAATGTGAGTACATATATATACTTTTGTGGCTTTCAGGAAGTTTCAGTGTATTAATAATATTATAGTACATATTTATATGTTACAGTATACAATAAGACTGTATTAATAGTTGTATATATTTTTATATTATTTCTTTATACGTATTTTATAGTACAATAACTTAAATTATACAGTTTTAAAGACTGGAAGAACAGATTAACTTTTTAACACAGAATAAAAAAACAATAATATATATGACAGTTCTATATAATGTTACCATTAAAAAATGAATTGGTATTTCAACAAACTTGAAATTACAATACGGGACTAAACACTATCCAATTACTTCTTTGTTTAATAACCTATTGACGGTAAAATAAAATGTCTACATTAAGATCGGTGCTTGGAATGTTTGCCATCATCAATCGCATTTTGATGAATCTTTACAATAATATAGCATATAGATCAGAATAATATATAGGCTATAAATTTCGGGTGTTACCGCGGGCACAGCCAGTATTTTATATATTTCCCTTTGATGGGGTGATACATTTGTCATTGCGGGTGAACATAACCAAACAAGACAACTATAAAAGAAATGATGATCATTATTGATATTATTATTGTTCTCAGTTATGGATATGTAACGAATACTCGTATTAAACTCGTACTGGTCACGAGTTCAAGTTCGCCGAGCGGCAGCAATATTAGAGATGCCGAAGTACGGACCGCCTTGCGCAGGCTGCATGCTCTGTACGCTGACGCTATTTGCAATCCATTCCACTTACCCGGAGATCAAATTACATCGCAGTAAGTAATGCTATATTAATATGAAATATTTATAAAAAAAAAAAGTGTAGTTCAGATTAAAAGTGAGTCTAGCTCATTTTCAAGCTGTACTACACTAGAGTTTTTTTTATATTATTGGAATGGCAAAGAAATATACAGTAATGAGTAACCATCGACTATATTAATGAACAGCATGATTTTCATGTTATGTCACTGTCTAATCTTACTTTACAACCAAAACACGGCACAGCAAAGTGCTTCGCTGCTGAGGCTCAGTTACTCCTTCAGGTGATTATTAACAAAGCCTACCTCGGAAAATCTGTAATAGAATATTATATTTATTAATAGAATATAAGAATATACTATCTATCAGTATATAATCCAATTAAATATTTTAGATCAAATAATTGAGATTGCGAATCTTTAAAGTAACTGTTTTTAATTTGTTGGAATTTATTGTGTGTCTTTCTACTAAGTTTTATTATTATATATATTATTTTTGTTACAGAAAATTCGACAAGCAAGTAAAAAATTTAATGTTGAATAATGTATAAACTGCTAGTTACAAGTAATGTAACCTAACATGTGTAAAAATATATAATTTAATTTAATTTGTATTGAATGTCTATTATTTTTATTTTGTATTGTAATATTCAAAAGAGAATAATAATAAAATATATTTAAAATATGTCTTGTTCATTATTAATACTACACATGTCTGATTCTCTTTTGTATTTTTGGTGTATCTGTTTTTTTTATCTTTTAATAATATTCTGAATTAGGTAAATAAGATTCTCGTAAGATTTGTCGCAATCCATTGACTGCTGACAATACATTGATTAGATAATAGACTTGTCCCAATCGATTAACTGCTGGCAATACTTTGACATAAACGTAAATTTACAATCAGTAACTAATAATATAATTTTATTTCAAAAAGAAGTCCATTGTGTTGTTTAACAACGTACGTAAAATAGTGATTACTTGCTTTGTGAGTACGAAAGCTAATATAATTTGTCTATGGTTTGTTTCATACGTAAGTTTGTCAATTCACAATGATAGACTGACAGACACTGTCATTAAAGACGTCAATATTATGAATCAAGAACTTCGCTTTGGATATTTGCCTCTTTTCATGAAGTGAATCTTCCTCGCTGTTCTCCGGTTCAGCGCTGAGCAATTTTTATTGTAAAGTTGTTTATCTCGACCGGGAAATCGCATCAACATGGTGAGTATACATTCTAAAATTTCCGTCCGTTGTTATTTTCATGATATCTTTATTATAAATGTAAATTATGATGGTCAAATCGTGGTGTTTGCGATATAGGTTATGTCTGTCCACGTGCTATGATTTGGCGCTTAATTCTTAGTAATAATGCTTAAAATTTACTTTTTTTAATAAAATAGGAACCGAACCAGAAATGATATACAGCAATAAATTAAATTAACCTGGATATATCACACCATTTTATTGTCTATGTCTGCTGTACCAAAGAAAGTAGATTTTGTAATGTAATAGCAAATATGTATTTTATATTATTAATAAATATTTTACAATCTTACTAATAAGTGGGCATGGATGCATGTCTGTTACTCCTTCACGCAAAAACTACATGGAATGGGTTTTGATGAAACTTTACATAAATATACTTATACGTCAAAATAACACAAGCTATAAATTTCAGGGCACTGCTATTCTTATTATATAAAAATATATATTTAATCTGTAAAACACGTGTATCTGTGATTTGAAATTGTTACAATCTATATCATCAATAAATTTTAATTCACGATTATATTGTGAGGAATCGAACCTCCGACCATAGTAAGTAAATCTATATGTCAAACTAAAAGCCTATAGAGCCTGTATTATATATGCAACGGTATAACATTTCAGGCAGCCGCTGTAGTGTCAGGCAAGGACATTGAGAAGCCCCAGGCGGAGATCTCGCCCGTCCACCGCATCCGTATCACCCTCACGTCCCGCAACGTGCGTTCCCTCGAGAAGGTGTGCGCCGACCTCATCAATGGAGCCAAGAAGCAGAAACTCCGCGTTAAGGTTTGTTCACTTTAAAAAAGATTTTTCCTAAGAAAATATCCCATCCTGGGGTTTTTGGCTGGTAATAGTCAGACAGTGGTAAGAGGCAAGCCTTGAGGAAGAGACGGGTAAATCCTTACCTTGTGAGGCCTTATCCTTTTTCTTAAATCCTTACCCTTAAGCTGTAATAATAACCTTCCCCCCCCCAGAGGTTACTAGTTAGTAACCTCTGAGCTAGTTCACCACACCTGACAACTACCTGACAACCCTCCAAAATACCTGAAAAGAACATATCTACTGGATTTGGATAAGCAACACTCCAGTTCTTAATTCCTGAATGTATGTTGGAGGGCGTCATTAAGTAAGAAGTCAGCTATCTAGTAGTAGTAATAGTAGACATACTGATCGCGGATAAATCAGGAACAACAATATTACATAGATATAGTTATAAAGCCCAATTTACACTCAGCCCGAGTCAAGGGCGGATCCAGCTTTGGCGCCAGGAGGGGGTCAAGTAGTCGTGGTCAAGTCATGAACTTATAATTGAATTTTGATAACAGTATATAATTTTGATAGTAGTATACAAATAAAAAGTAGGTATTTTATTAATGTACGTAAGTAATGTACTTAAAAATATTTATTATTTATAGTATACTTGAAAAACTTAACACTTAATAACTTGTACATATTGCCATCTTCTCTTGAAACATCCAGAGAAGCACTATTTAAATATAATTAATTAAATATTGAAGGTATGTAGTTACATAAAATCTGTATGGCTGTAAATATATAAATAAAATCATGTTCAATTAACACTCCCCCCCTCCCCCTGGATCCGCCGATGGCCCATGTGGGCAGGAAAGTGAGCAGCGCGAGAGTGGAAACACTTCCCATGCCATTGTCGCTGCCACTCGTGCTGCCCGGCGCTCCCTCAATTGTCGGTTTTTCGTGCGCGAGTCAAAGGACTGGCAGCGTGTGTTTACATTCAGCCCTCTCGCTCAGTTGTCGCCCGGCGTTTTAAGCGGAAGGTAAGGAAGAGTCGCCCGGTAAATAAGTATGAGGGCTGAGTGTAAACGACACTCACTCGCGACGCTGACGCGGCAATATTTCCGACAGCGCGAGTGGCAGGGGAAGCGGCTGAATGTAAACGTAACATAAGATGCGCCCAGATGAAGACACAGTATGTTCTATAATACTGTGTTCACCAGAGTGGCGGTATACCATTACTCTTCAAAGTGCAGTGCGTGATTTGCTCGTAGCATGCTCTGCTCATAGGAGAGTTACAATTCCTTACATCTTCATCATCAGAGTTGGTACTGAGGAGGTGGGAAAGGTACAAAGGTGATATTAGCAATAGGGATTCGTAAATTCATTACTGCTGCCCTTCATGAAGGGGAACTACTGGCCGAAGGGAGTGGTGTATCGGCGCTACCGTGGCAGATTGCCGTCGTCTGTGCCGTGTCACAGAGGCATCATCATTGCCTTGCCTTTACCCCATTATTTGTGGTCGGCGCAGTATGTCATTCTCTTCCACTGCTCTCTATCGGTCGTCATATCTAAACATACTCTTCTTTTATTCATATCATGTTTCACACAATCTATCCATCTTTTCTTAGGGCGTCCCCGCCACAGAGGCAATATATATTATTTCATACTAGCTACCCACCCCGGCTTTGCACGGTTGTACATGTATTATACATATAAACCTTCCTCTTGAAACACTATCTATTAAAACAAAATCGCTTCAAAATCCGTTGTGTACTTTTAATAATTTCAGCTTACATAGGGACAGACAGCGACAGCGACTTTGCTTTATACTATGTAGTGATGATTAATCTCTATATATGTTAGTCTTAATCTTAATCTTATATATAAAATTCTCGTGTCACAGTTTTCGTTCATATACTCCTCTGAAACAGCTTGACCGATTCTCATGAAATTTTGTGAGCGTATTGAGTAGGTCTGAGAATCGGCCAACATCTATTTTCATCCCCCTAAATGTTAGGGGTAGTCTACCCCTACATTTTTATTTTTTATTTTAAGGCAAAACAATGTTTGCCGGGACAGCTAGTATATAATAATATTATAAACGCGAAAGTTTGTGAGTATGGATGGACGTTTGATACTCTTTCACGCAAAACCTACTATACGGATTTTGATAAAACTTTACAGTAATATAGCATATTCATCAGAATAACACAGGCTATTTTTTTATTGAAATTTAACGCGAGTGTAGCCGCGGTAAATAATATTACGTTGACTGATATAAAAATAATCAATTTTTTTAATATCAATAAACCCAGCCAACAAACACCTTGAAACTCGATTCCAGATGCGTTACCCTGAATATCAGGTTACTCCTAATGCTTAAAATACACGGATTAATTTGAAAATGATGAAATTCCAGGGTCCAGTCCGCATGCCGACCAAGATCCTCCGCATCACGACGCGTAAAACCCCCTGCGGTGAGGGTTCCAAGACCTGGGACCGCTTCCAGATGAGGATACACAAGCGCGTGATCGATCTGCACTCACCATCTGAGATCGTGAAGCAAATCACATCCATCAACATCGAGCCGGGCGTAGAAGTAGAGGTTACAATTGCCGACGCGTAGGCACAACTGCCAATAAACTATTTTGAGTAAAACTGTCTTTTAATTATAGTTCTTAACTTACCGATACGCGCAGCTTCCTCTGTATCACACTTACTTATAATTTATCTTTATACTAACTACTCACATGGGTGTACATGTATTATATTTCATTCAGAACCGAGCAGCCAGAATCATTGGTAATCAACGTCTATGTGACGGAGTCGACCCATTGGCTTTGCGCAGAGATATTGCGTCTCTGTGCATTTTCTACCGCATATATCACGGGAAGTGTTCTAGGAATTGTTCAGATTAATACCAGCTGCTGCTAAGTTTCATCACCGTACCACCCGCCAGAAACTAAAATACCATCCTAATCATCTGGATGAATGGCGGTCTCCCACAATGTGGTTTTCTATAGACTTGCCACGCACAACCACATTGTGGAATCACCTTCCAGCAATGGTATTTCCGAACCGATACTATATAGAAACCTTCAAGAAAAGAGCTTATTCCTTTTTAAAAGGCCGACAACGTACTTGCAATTCTCCTGGTGTTGCGGGTGCTCATGGGCGGCGGTAATCACTTACCATCAGGTGAGCCACATGCTCTTTTTTCCCCTATGTTATAAAATATATATATCTATAAACCTTCCTCTTGAATCACTCTATTTTTTTTTATACCACGTAGGTGGCAAACAAGCTTACGGCCCATCTGATGGTAAACGGTTACGCCTGAAACACCAGGGGTGTCACGTGCGCGTTGCCGACCCTTAAGAAACCTTAATATACCCTTCCTGAAAAACCCCATGCTGTAGTCTCTCGAGAAAACCTCGGCAGGTAGTTCATACCACAATGTAAGTGTACGCGGGAGGAAGCTCCTCTGAAACCGCATTAAAAAAACCGCTTCAAACTCCGTTGCGTAGTTTTAAAGATTTAAGCTTACGTATGGACAGACAGCGACAGCGACTTTGTTTTATATTATGTAATTATTTATTTCATTAGAATTAAATTACAGAATACCTAATAAAGTACAAAAGGCGTTCGTAGTCATATTAGTAATTCTGCTTATTTTGACTAGATGGCGCTGACTTACTGAGATTTGCTCTGCGAACATTCGACAATTTTTTTTTCTGGCAAATTGAGTACAGACTGACAGTTTGTTGTAAAACCTTACGCAATTATTATAAAACGAATTACTAACTTTCGTCAAACGGGACTTAGGTAAAACTAGTTTGTTGACATTACGTAAGCTTTTATTAGTGTAATCACCTCCTTTTTAAAACTCTAAATATATATGAATATTATATTGATTATTTGATCAATCAATCAATAAATTTATTTTTATTTTACATTATATATTACAGGGGTGGTAAACGGTAAATTTAACAGTTTCTCTATATTCTACCCATAAGTTGGTATGCAGAATTGAATGTTTAAAAAAATTTGTCATAATTATAATTTGACCTAAAAAAAATCTTGGGTGTGTTTCGTTTGATTGTGTGCGGACAATCAAGTATTGTATGCAGTGAATTTACGGGGCCCTGGGCTAAATCTACTTAGGGACCTACCTAATTATATTACTCAACTAAAAAAATACACCGACCAAAAACAAGCGACCAGAAATTCCCCGTTCCTTTCTATAGACGCGCACTTGCATCGGTTGATTGATCTCAGGGTTGCCAACCTTATGATAGGTTTTTTAACATTCTAGATATTTTTTTATAGTCTAAATATCGTTTCAGTGGGGATAGGGGGCCCTTTGTATTGTCGGGCCCTGGGCTGCAGCCCAAAAAGCGCTAAAGTAGATCCGCCCCTATATACAGGGGTTATTTTTTTTTAATGGATAATTATGGAATGGTGCACCCGCCTGCGCTAACGGTTTACGCTGGCGCGGCACCAGTGGAGGATGATAAGATGAGCATGAGGTCAGGTCAGTTAGCCCATCGTGACATATTTACCAGAAATTTATCACGATGGTTTCCAGGGGGTACCGCGTGGAGGTCAATCTGACATGGTACAATTGCTAGCATTAAGATCATCAGTCCACATTACTAACGATCACCTTTGCTCCCTGTATACATGGGTGGTAAGTGGTAAATGTAATAATTTGTACTATATTCTGTTCTGTCGTAATTATCATTTGACTGAAAATAAACCTTGGGTTAGTTTAGTTTGACCGTGTGCGGAGCCCTTACGCGCTTTTCGTGCCACGTTCTAATATAACAGTCCCATTTGGAACGTAAATTGACCGTAATCATGCGTACGAACAGGATATATGTATGTTACAATGTAACATTGTTATATATATTTAAAACAAACTCATTTACTTATTAGTTTTTAATTTAGTTTTTGATACTTTGTCTACTGAAGTGCAAATACACTGACTGCAGGCAATGGCGGATCCAGGGGGGAGGTGGTGTCATGGGGGCCATTTATATGTATAGATTTTGACTCTAATGAATTAGAGCTAGTTGGTAGTTTGTATTCACAGATTTCAACTTAAAAATGTAAAGTTAAAATAAAAAAATTAAAAGAGCAACACGTTATTTTCTCGATCGTTCTTCTTGTGATGAGACAGATTTCCGAATGAGTAGTGGTTTAAAAAACTAAATACACTTTTGAATAGTCATTCAAAAGTGCTTTAATGTAAGTTTATTTGAATAAATGATTATTTTTTCTATTGTATTCTCCTATGTGAAAATGGTACCAAGTTAATATGTAACTTTGAAAACTGATAAAAACAAAACTAAGTAACTAAGTAGGGTGACGGCACCAATAATGAACAAGACCCTTTTATGGACACTTAGAAAATAATAATTAAATATTAAGCTAGAACACACTTATTTTTGCTCCAGCAACACCTTAACTCAAACGTCCACCTTTTAGCTGTCATAATGTCAAATGTCATCGAAAACGGCCATTTTGCTTCAAAATGGCTGACCGTTAAATTTGTCGTGTTGGATGTCGCAAACAAAAATCTGTTTTTATTGTGAAAATCGTTAAGAGAGTGAGTATTGTTTTTTGAAAATTACTTCAATGTCTTTGTTGTTTCCTGTACAATCATGTTATTTTACTTAAAGTTAAAGGATTTTAAAAGAAAATTAAAATTAACATAAACCGGTAGATTCAATATTTTAATATTTTTTACGAGATGTTCATTACTGGTTTCTAGATTATCGAAACCTCTAGTAATGGACATGTGTCGAAAGTTAACTTTTAGAGTATTTTGTGAGAATGTCGCTTAAAATAATTCTTTATGTCATAACAATTATTTATTTAGTCGTGATTTTTATTTTGGACAACTTCTACCAGTAATGAACATGTGTCCAAGATTGGATAATTTTTTGTGTCTATAATTGGTACCACTGGATTTCGTAGATGGCGCCAAAAAAAGATTACACCCCTGAGCAGATGGGGCAAGCTGTTGAAGCAGTCAGACAGGGAGAGAAGATTGCTACGGCAGCAAAGAGGTGGGGTGTTCCGCGTATTACACTATATAATAAAATATCGGGCAAAAGTCCTTTGGAGTGTGCAATGGGGCCACAAACAGTTCTTTCAAAAGCCGAAGAAGACATTTTAGTGAAATGGTTAGTAGCAATGAGCGAAAAACATTTTCCAGTAAATCGTGAATTATTAATGGAAAGCGTACAAAAAATAATTGTCGAGCAAGGGAGACCTAGTCCTTTTACTAATAATAAGCCAGAGAAAAAATGGTTTCAATCTTTTTTAAAGAGGCACCCAGATGTCGTCGAGAAAACCGCGCAAAATCTTTCCAAATCGAGAGACGATGTGTGTGAAGAAGCTTTGCGAAAATGGTTTTCTGAAATCGACTCATATTTAGAATAAAGAGGCCTCAAAGACATTTTGAAAGATCCAAGCCGAGTTTTTAATACTGATGAAAGTGCTTTCTTTTTGTCACCAAAAGCAGGCCGAGTGCTTTGCAAACGGGGTGAAAAACACCTTTATAACTTTAGTGGAGAAGAAAAAGAGAACCTTACTGTTCTTGTAACAGCTAATGCTACGGGACAACTTGCTCCCCCTATGATTGTTTTCAAATATGAAAGAGTACCGGCGCACATATCAGCGAGCGTTCCCGGTGATTGGGGAATAGGAAAATCAGAATCGGGGTGGATGTGCGGAAGCACCTTTTATGAATTTATCACAAATATTTTCGATCCTTGGCTACAACAGGAAAACATAAAAAAGCCTGTTCTATTTTTCTTAGATGGACATAAATCACACCTAACGTTGCATTTGTCAAATTATTGTTCAGAACATGGCATAGAGATAATAGCATTATACCCGAATTCGACGCACATTCTGCAACCTATGGACTTGGCAGTGTTTCGTCCCTTAAAGGTAGCTTGGCGAAAAGAAGTTTCAAGATGGCAGCTAGATCACCTTGGACAAATATTAAAAAAGGAAAATTTCGCCCAAGTATTACGAAATTCATTAGCTACAATTTCAAAAGACTATATCCAAAGCGGGTTCAAAGCTGGAGGTTTGTACCCATTTGGACCGGATTATATTGATATGAGCAAAATAAAAAACAAAAATTTAACCCAAAAAGAGCATGACCCAAAACAAAGTGAGTTTATGAAATATTTAGATAAAGAAATAATTCAGCTTTTTTCACCCCAAAAGTTAGAACTTTTCAATAAAATGTATTACAAGGATAGAGACACTTTACAAGAGTTTTTACATCCAGAAGATGAGTCATTGTACGTGATTTGGGCCAAAAATAAACATTTGAGCCAGAGCGTTATCCAACTAGATCCGACATCTCAGACAGATTTAGCTGTAGCTTCAAATGAAGTGCAGCCTTCGACATCGGGTACTGACAATGTTATAGCTTCTAGCCACTTAAATGAAAAGTCCACTAACAACCGTTCAATGCCACAAGAGCAACCTTTGGAATCTATATTAGACAAAATTATGCCATATAGTCAGAGCGTAATCCAAGTGACGCCGACATCTCAGACAGATGTTGCTGTAGCTTCCAATGAAGTGCAGCCTTCGACATCAGGCACTGGAAATTTTATAGCCCCTAGTTC